GAAATTAAGCGATGTCCATATATTACTTTCGACTTATTAGAACTATTAACACAGGAAAACCTTCGCTCGCAATCGATGCAGACAATATTTCTTTTCCACGAAGATTCACAGTCTGGTCACTGGAATCCGATGAAAACGATCAAGCTGTATTGTTAATCCATATCGACAGCGTTTTCATTGATAAAAGAACGGAGGATGATTGATTTTAAGGACGCTTAATTGACAGAACACGAGTATTACGGTTTTCGGCGTGTGCGCCCCCACCCGCCCCGCCCAACTGGAGGGGGGAAGTAAATATATCTAGCGACCTTGAACATTGCAAAGAAAAGAGGCATAAAAACGAAATACGCCTCGTATTACGAAGTACGGGGGAGACGCAGAGAGAAAACTGGTTTCAGATGGTGGAGAATGTTCTGGTAACATTTGCATTTAGTGTGCGTGCACAGTTTACTGGTTCGTCAGTCTTTTTATAAGTTGTTATTTTTCCAATGCGCGGCTCTTGATTATGTCAAAACGACGTTTTAAACCAGAGTCCGGCATGGAGATCGAGGGAATAACCGGCAATGGCCGGCATACCTTTGAACCAGTCGCAGCCTCGTCGCGTCATCGCGAGCTATTAATTTTTTTTCTTCAATGAATCATAAATATCGGCAACGAAACCCTAATTGAGAATTATATATTTAAATTCTGATTGAGTGACCAGTCGAAAAAGACGAAAAATTGAAATGAATTCAGCCGGATGAGGAAAAATCTCGACATCGTTCTCCAATTAGTATGATTAACGAGATTCTACAGCGGAGGCCTCCTCGTTCGAACATTTATTTTTACGATATTCTACCATCCAGACGTTCTATTATCTGATCATTTTATTATTTAGATGCATTTCCACCAAGCAGAGAACTAGAATTAAATTAGATAAGTTTTAATTAGATTAGTTTTGCAGTCAAGATATTACAAAAACAAACCTTCGTATAAGGGAGTCTCTGCAGTAACAGCGAACAGTTTTACTTACTTTATGACGTTAGACTACAAGGACGTAATCACAACTATACCATTTTTGTAAATCGTTCAATAAGTTGCACGAAATTCAGGGTATTGCATAAAACGCGTTACGACCATATTTTATATTTCATCCGAAAATGATGCGAAAGAAAAATTCGCATTAGTTGTATAGGACGCATCGTATATCTCCTTTGCGCAATCAGGATTAGTGCAGACAGCTTCAGCCCTGACACTAACCTTGGATTCGACGCTCGAACACCGTCTCCCTCTAGAAGTCCCTGCAACGATAAGTACCATGAGCATTCTCTCGGCGTTAGCGAAAGAAAGCGCGGGCAAAGTCGCCGAGCTCTTTGGCCAAGGAATATCGTGGAGGACTGCATAGTTAGTTTCCACTAATACCGCTAAGACAGCGCAAACGCATTACAGAAAGTTCTCCCTAATTGACGCTCAGATTGTGCACAAAAATGGACAATTTGAGAAGAGGAGGTACGAGCCTCCTATTAGAGCTATTTATATTTATAGAGCTATTATTAGAGCTATTATATGTATATATTCGAGTCTTGTAGTTGTTGACAATCGGTAATTATAAAAACGAGTTGCAAGGTTCGAAAAAGCGTATATTCTCTTCTCAAATTGTCCATTTTTGCGTACAATCTAAGCGCCAATTAGAGATAGAGAGAGTTTACTGTATTCGGTCGCTGGACCACGAGTGCATTGTCGAAAACTTAATTTCGGTATGCTATGTTGTTAGCAGGGAAGAGATATTTAAGTAACGAAATTTCACTTCCATTATTCCAATCCCACAAGTTTAAATTTTCGGAGATGAATTTCAAACGAGGAATAAATTTTTGACTCTCTTATTTTACGCACCTGGGTATGTGCACGCCGCTATAAAAAAGTCCCTTATAAATAAAATATTTGTAAGTTCCAGTTGCGAGAGCAAAGATGCTGAAAAATCGAACATTTTCCAAGCAAAATTCTCAAGGTTTGAGGGCCGCTGAAACGAAGTTGCGAAGACAAAATGCTGTAGTTAAATATATGGTGAATGATTTCGACTAGAATTTAATATTTTGATATTTTCAAACGTTTTCAAAGGTTCGGCCGCATTTGAAAATTATTTTCAAGCATTCCACGTGGTCGAGGAAACGCGACCTGCTTCGCCGATCGCGGAAATCGGGGTAGATGTAATACTTAGGTAACTCCCGATAACTGATATTGATGGCTACTTTTACTACTCGCGTCTACTACAAGTCTGACTGCCGTGTGCACGGGGCACAATTAAGACTAGTCCCGTTGGACTTACGCGATCGAGGAGAAATGGGGCTGACGANGTAACAGCGAACAGTTTTACTTACTTTATGACGTTAGACTACAAGGACGTAATCACAACTATACCATTTTTGTAAATCGTTCAATAAGTTGCACGAAATTCAGGGTATTGCATAAAACGCGTTACGACCATATTTTATATTTCATCCGAAAATGATGCGAAAGAAAAATTCGCATTAGTTGTATAGGACGCATCGTATATCTCCTTTGCGCAATCAGGATTAGTGCAGACAGCTTCAGCCCTGACACTAACCTTGGATTCGACGCTCGAACACCGTCTCCCTCTAGAAGTCCCTGCAACGATAAGTACCATGAGCATTCTCTCGGCGTTAGCGAAAGAAAGCGCGGGCAAAGTCGCCGAGCTCTTTGGCCAAGGAATATCGTGGAGGACTGCATAGTTAGTTTCCACTAATACCGCTAAGACAGCGCAAACGCATTACAGAAAGTTCTCCCTAATTGACGCTCAGATTGTGCACAAAAATGGACAATTTGAGAAGAGGAGGTACGAGCCTCCTATTAGAGCTATTTATATTTATAGAGCTATTATTAGAGCTATTATATGTATATATTCGAGTCTTGTAGTTGTTGACAATCGGTAATTATAAAAACGAGTTGCAAGGTTCGAAAAAGCGTATATTCTCTTCTCAAATTGTCCATTTTTGCGTACAATCTAAGCGCCAATTAGAGATAGAGAGAGTTTACTGTATTCGGTCGCTGGACCACGAGTGCATTGTCGAAAACTTAATTTCGGTATGCTATGTTGTTAGCAGGGAAGAGATATTTAAGTAACGAAATTTCACTTCCATTATTCCAATCCCACAAGTTTAAATTTTCGGAGATGAATTTCAAACGAGGAATAAATTTTTGACTCTCTTATTTTACGCACCTGGGTATGTGCACGCCGCTATAAAAAAGTCCCTTATAAATAAAATATTTGTAAGTTCCAGTTGCGAGAGCAAAGATGCTGAAAAATCGAACATTTTCCAAGCAAAATTCTCAAGGTTTGAGGGCCGCTGAAACGAAGTTGCGAAGACAAAATGCTGTAGTTAAATATATGGTGAATGATTTCGACTAGAATTTAATATTTTGATATTTTCAAACGTTTTCAAAGGTTCGGCCGCATTTGAAAATTATTTTCAAGCATTCCACGTGGTCGAGGAAACGCGACCTGCTTCGCCGATCGCGGAAATCGGGGTAGATGTAATACTTAGGTAACTCCCGATAACTGATATTGATGGCTACTTTTACTACTCGCGTCTACTACAAGTCTGACTGCCGTGTGCACGGGGCACAATTAAGACTAGTCCCGTTGGACTTACGCGATCGAGGAGAAATGGGGCTGACGATTTAAAAGTCCACCAACGGTTTCTGTTTCCTCTAATGACACACGATAAATTGTGTCGGACGAGAGCAAGAAATTTCAGAGGGCATTTGCACATTTCTTGCGTCAACAATAACGTTCGCTTGGATCACACAGAATCGTTGTTGTATTATGTTACCGAATCATGGTTCTTTATGGTACTTGCAGAAATCTGAAAAATTCTACAGTTGAGCCTCGATTATCCGGTCATCCGATGTATCACAATTCTCTATTCTTCAAATTTGTACGCGATCAGCTCAATCAGCTAACCCATATGGAAAACGATTTACTCTACGAATCAATAAAAATTAAATCTGGCACTGTAATTAAGTAACTGTTCTATTATACTTTTAGCGTAAAGCTTTATTTTTAGTGTAAATTCATTCGCATTTTATAATTATATCGTCCGACTGGTTTATGTTCGCAGACATTTTATTCGGTCGCATTGAGGATATTATAAACGATCACAGGCTAGTGTGAAACTTTATCAAACGTTCGATGACACCGTGTGGTGACACATTGACGGTCACTGACACATGCGCGTGACTTCGTCCCACTACTCATCGGTTCAAAATTAAGCAACCATCACCTGTCAGCTAATACTTGTGAAATGCCGACGATTATACATATATATATATATAATATATTGAATATTATATGTATATATATATATATATAAATTTATATTTATATTTATAAATAAATAAATAAATATATTTATAAATATAAATTATAAATATAATGAATATATATATAAATATATATATTTTTTCAAAATATATATAATTCAAAACAATGCTACGATATTTTCTCCTATCAAGAAATATTTAAAGTTCGAATAAGTTTTCGTAGATAGTTAAAAAATATATATATGGTGTCATATCGAATTCCCCGAACCCCCTAATCACGCAATATCTACTTCCAATGCGTTGCTTTGACACTTTTACATCTGAATCGTGCGAGAGAATCACTGAAAACTATCGGCAACGATCGAAGAGTCCCAACACGAAAATTGCTGTCGAATGTCAACCCCGAGAATTTCCCATTGGATCCAAGAAATGTCCGTTTAGCTAGTCGTTAAGAATATTTAACGTGTCTAAGGAACGAATATTCCGCGAGATGCCATGCGAAGGAACAAAGCAGCTCTTCCAGCCAATTAGTCGTTAATGACGTATCTGGGAAGAGAGATGATCGCAGGGTGTCAGGGTACTGATAATACGCGGCTAGCAAGGGAATTAGAGAACACCGGATGACATGCCGAAACGTTTCGCGGTCTCGTATTCGCGCGGAGCACAATTCCTGCTGGCCGATGGAAAGTTGGCCTGCGTGTTGCTCGTACCATAGGAATTTAAACGGGGATATAGGTATAAGAACACGGAGACGGGGAGTCGTTCACGGTAGTGTGAGGCATAAACGCGCCGGCACCACACCCAGCGTGACCACCATTGCGAACACGGGACCACGGGACACGGCCATGCGCGTCGCAGTGATCGTGAGTACCCAAAAGTGTTCATTTCTTTTTTTCTACTTTTCGTCGCGAACCCCGTTTAACCCTCGGACCCCGAGCGTTCCCGATGGCCGCGCCGATGTGCGACAGTGATCGGGTTCGCTTGGACCCCCACGTGTCTTCGCGGAAATCTTCCTGTCGGTCTTAAAATGAGAAAACAAACTTTTACGCGAGTCAATTATTTCCGTCAAATTAAAACAATCCTCTCGCTGTTAGGCATTTCGGTAGATCGAAGGTGAAATCCGACGAATTGTTTTATTTCATTTCGATTCTTTCATTTTTGACGTAAATTTCCGTTTTAATAGCTTTGGCGAAAAGTGAAATTTCTTTCAATAATCGAAAGATACAATAAAATATAATAAAATAAATATAATAAATTTGTAATGCCACAAATGCATAAGGATGCGTAATCTAGCTGTAAAAAAGATCCAGATGCAATCGTTGTATTATCGATTCATGCTAATCATGTTCTCTCGAACCGCGTGGCAATGGTTCCCGCGATCCGCCAATGGAGTGCAAATAATTGTCGCATATTTCCAAGCGTGAATGATCTGCTCGTAAAAGTAAACGATACGATGAAGTTCATTGAGACTCTCGCATTATTTGACAAACTCCCGTCGAAGTGCTAGATCGATCTTTTTATTCAGTTCCTATAATATCGGCCGGAACTAATGCAGTACAGTCGAGTCAATACCTTCTAATCTAACGCAAAGCCGGATACCTTTCGAAAAGCGTCAACAAAATATACGGTGCCCAATGGACCGTGGCGAAATCGCCGTGCCACGAGAATGAAGTGGTAAGAACACACGATCGGCGCTCTTTATTAAGAAACGCAGTAGGTTAATCGTGAAAATTCGAGAAGCATCGTTAAGCATCCCCAGGCTTCCGTTCCAGTCTGTTTCGTTCGCCATCAATTTGGAAGCGGCGACCGCGAAATATAAAATAATATATTTTCACGAGAGAGCATACTCAAAATATGGAAGAAAGTCGCGATAATGATTACGCGCGTGTGTAACGCGCGGATGAATAAACAGATTTCTGTTTCACTATGTGAAACGGTCCAGGGTGAAATACTCTGTGAAAGTATGGATTTTCAATGATGTTTACGGTGTCATCTAATAGCTCGTTGAGAAATCGCACAATTCCGACTGCAAGTTGCTCTTTCATTTTTTTTGTTCGCTGACCAGACGGAATCGCTGTAACCGGTTTTATGAGTGCGAAATGAATGATAGCCTCTCGTGTGATGCAATGGTCGTTAATTCGGTAACTGCAACAGTCTACTAATGTAAGAACGCTGTGCATATTCCCGCTGAGAAAAATGTATCCATGGTGTGAAGTTAGAAGGTCCCAGTCAAGAAATGATCCACTGGGATAGTCCGAGTCGACAGACGGGTTGTTAGACAATATGTAAAATGTGTATCGGCTTACATATAGAGTTTCCATTATACTTGACATTCCTTTCGATCAGCCCTCTCCAATGTCCGCGTGCACACGTTCAACCAGCGGACTTTCTGCGCCAACCTGTTACTTCGTAATCGGATTATGTAAAAGCGGGCAGCATATTTCCTTTAATCAAGTTGGGATCTTTCGAACTATTTCCATTTGTCCTACTAAATAAATAGAGTGATATGACGCGAGTCGGCTGACACGCGTAAACACATTCTACTCGCGATGACAAAAGCGAACGAAACGACTAATAACTATTCTTCGGTGTTCCAATCGCATTGGCAATACGGTAATTTCTTCCTAATTCGCAACTCAAATTACGCGCAATAATGGACAATTTGGGAAGAGGAGATACGATTATTCGAGCCTTGCGATTTGTTTTTATAGTTGTTGACAATCGGTAACTGTAAAAACGAGCCGCGAGGCTCGAATAATCGTATCTCCTCTTCCCAAATTGTCTATTTTTATTTACAAGCTGAAGGTAAATTAGGGAGAATTAGTACTTTGTTATTCTCGATTTTGATATGTTAACAATTTAATATTGGAAACCGATGTATCCAAAGAAAAAGAAAATCTTGCGACCAACAAAATATCGGCACATTGCCTGACTGAACGACAATTGTACAATTAGCAGTAACAACAACTAGCAGCAGTAAAAAGCAGTAAAAAGTAACAACAAATTCCTTTATAAATGTCAAACGAAACTCTTGGTAAATAATTGTTTTGGGTACATCAGTGTCCAATATTAAATTGTTAACATATCAAAATCAAGAAGAACGAAATACTAAAAATCCAGATTACAGAAAATTCTCTCTAATTTTCCTGCAGCTTGTAAACAAAAGTGGACAATTTGGGAAAAATAAATGCGATCATTCGAGCCTTGCGTCTTGTTTTTATAATTGTTGATAATCGATAACTATAAAAATGAGCCGCAAGGCTCGAATAATCGAATCTCCTTTCCCAAATTGTCCATTTTTATGCGCAATCTGACCGCGGATTAGGCCGAAATTACTGTACTTTGTGCACTTTCGAGCAGCAGAAGTCACCAGACTTCGTTGATTTTTCTGCCGATAAATACGCTCGCGGATTTTCCCGCGTTTCCATCGAGTAGATGCAAACGCGTGAACCATAATCTTCAAGGTAAAACAATTCTAATCGTTTTATAGTTGTTGATAATCGATAACTATAAAAACGAGCCGCAACGCTGGAATGGATCGAATCTCCTCTCCCAAATTGTCCACTTTTGTGTGCAATCTGAGCGCGAATTAGGGAGACATTGCTGTACATAGCCGGGAGGCAGTTCGTCTAATTAAATTGTTCACGGTTTCAATGAATTGCCAAAACGTAAAGATTCAATTTAACCGTGTTCCAATACGAAATCCGAAAATATACAATAAACAGAATGCACGAAAATCCGAATGTAATAAGACAACGAATACCGAAGAAGGTTGACGAGCTTGTACAGTGTCGGAGCGTCGCGGATCGGGTCGAATTTGAAATATGTAATCGATGTCTCGAGAGAACGGATTTGAAGACAGAGTTGCATCCTTGTTTGTTCGCTCGAACTCGAGTTGTCCGGTCGGGCGAGATCAAAAGCCAGGAGCCGAGAGCCCGATCAGCAATATTGAAAAAAATCTCACGTCACGGAGACGTGACGGCGATCGCGAAGCTGGCCCTGAATAGAGATGAAAATCGTCCGAGAAAGAAAGTGAAAGCGCGGGAGGAGGGGAAAGTGAATGAACAGGCTGGAGTCGGTGAAAAGAGAATAAGAAAGAAACGGGAGAGGTAAGCAGGGAAGGAGGGGAGAAATTGTAGCAAGATCTTGAACGCGTTCTTTAACGATCTTTGTGCACGAAGGACGAAAATTAGTATCCGTGCGGACAGTAGGCCGAGCCTGGGTGAAAGTGCTCCGCAAGAAAGTCGCGTAGACTTTTCGTCGCATTCCCTATAAATATATACGCGTGCTTCGACTCGGAACGAAGTGCAAGCCCCGTAAGAAACAAATCCACGTCCACTCGGTTCGCCTGTTTCCTTCTCTCTGTCACTCTGTCGTTCTGTCTCTCCATATCTCCCACTCTTTCTTTCTCTCTCTCTCTCTCCCTCTCTTTCTTTCTCTCTCTCTCTCTCTCCATATTTCCCTCTCTCTCTCTCTCTCTCTCTCTCTCTCCATATTTCCCTGTCTCTCTCTCTCTCTCTGTTTCCCCCCTCGCATCAACGAGACCGGTGCATTCCTGCGGACTGCAGGAACTGTAGAGAATATGGCGAACGCCGATACCGGCTCGACTTGGCTAGAGATTGCTACAATACAAGGTGTTTCAGATCCATAGACACCCGCGGAAACGCAAGTAATTCGCAAGGCTACATCAAGCGTTTCTCTGTACACCCATACGCTTTTCAAAATTCGATGCACGAAAACCTCCTCTCACGGCCTTCAATCATTTCCCATTTAGTTTGATTAAACCATTTGTATAGGTACTACACGTCACCTCCTATTTTAAACGAAGAGATCCAAATAAGAAACAATTGAAGAGAAATAGGAATTGTACAGTCTCTATAACAAGAAATGAATAAATTTTAATTCGTGGAACGTACAAGTGTTGAGTGTGTAAAATATCAGGTCATTCTATATGTATAACGTGAATGTTTTGTATACATTTAATCCATCGTCTTCTACAACTTATGAAATGATGTCTATATAGAATGATTGCAAGTTTTGTAGGTATATTTCACTTATGGGAAAATTGTATAGATTCTATAAAATGTATTTGTAAGGACTTATCGTATAAATCTATTTTTTTATACGATAAAAGTCACATCATTTCATAAGCATACTTTTGTAATATTCATGAAGTATGAAAATGACTTACTTCAAGTACTCGACAGACTATTTCTAAATTTTATTTAAATTTAAATTTTACATCTAAATTTTTCATGTTCATTTGAAAAGTTACATAAGTCAAAAAAGTTATATAAGTTTATATAAATATAAATATATAATTTATATAAATATAAAAGTTATATAATATTTTAACATTAATTATATTAATTAATAATATTATTGATAATATTATTATAATTAAATGTATTATTAATATATTTTAACATTATTCATATAGTTTGATTGCCTGCGCATGGCACAAACAATTCTGATCAACAATCGAAGCAACGGTTTGAGTTAGTTTTGAATTTTTCAAGGAAGCAGTCCCAAAAGTGAAGGTACGCTTTCGTAATTTCTACACACTTCGGTAATTACACTACAGTTATACGCGGATAGCTTCTTCTTATGCTCCATAAATCCCTAAGAAAGTGTTTCCGTAAACAAAAGTAGCGTGAAACATGAACGTGAGTACAAAATGATAGAAAATAAACATATCGGCACACTAAATTCATTGGAAATAGTCTCTCGCTGGTGCCGTAAACATGGCTAACCTTGTCACTTCAAAATGGCGCACCGTGTCGCGTCGCGTTTACTCTCCTGCACTCGATAGGAAAAGGGGAACAAATTTTTATTCTCACTTGATTAATATCAACTCTAAACATTTAAATATACAGATCGCATATACAAGCTAAGAAAATATTACTGAATCGTCATCGTACATATAACTTGAATAAAAGAACATCTAACAACATCGTTCACCAAACATAAATGAAAATGATATTTTCCAATTACATTCGCGTCTGTGTCTAATCCTAAAATAGTCCTCTTATATGACACCCGATCTTTACCGGTTTCCACGCAATCCTTATTGCATGATTTTCTGTCGGATGACGACATTAACCTCAGATCAATGATTCTGCGCTAATAATAAAATACGAGATCAAATTTTTCAATAGAAAACTTAATATATATAAAATATATATAAATATATAACATATTATATATATATAATATATTATATACATTATAATATAAATATATATTTATATATGTTTATATATGTAAATATAGGCATATATTTATAATATATATATTATAATATACATAAATATTTAATTTATGTATATATTTATATATATTTATTATACTTTCTATATTGTATATACTATATTTTATTATACTTTATTATACTTTCACAGACTCTAACTCCGAATCGTAGAGAAATAAAACAATTCTATCAGTAACTATGATCTAGAGACTGCAAGTTGAGCTCAACGTAAGACACTTTCGTGATCAGAAAAATCGAATTCTCAGCCGCGGGCGTAGCGGCATTTTTCGACCAGTTTCCACCGCTTGAGAGTTAAATGTCCTTCAAGGCTTTATATCGTTCCCGAACGGCGCAGAAAATGGCGACTTTCTAGCACCCTCTTTCACGCCCTGTTGCTTCGTCGACGCGTCGATAACCCGTGGCTCGCCTCGTTCATTTCAATTTCCCCCGGATTATTCGACATAGCTCCGGCGCGACAAGTTGTTACGTTAATGGCAACAACACGACCGGTATTTCATATTCTTATGCAACGCGAGATTTGCACGCGAGAACGGATACAGGGCTCAGCGCGCGGACCAGCAAAACCCGCCGAATCCGTTTCAGTTTAACGCTGTCCGAACTTCGATTGTTCTTATTTCCTGGCCAGATTTCGTTCGATATCGTTGCAACAGGTTTTCCACGAACGAGACCGGTGTCCCCCTGTATCAAAAGCGCGTACCGGTTCGGAATTCTGGTTTGCGCGTTTCTGCGTGCACGTACGCGCATAATTAGGACCGCGTGCTCCAGTGACACGTCGCGCGCGGTCTGTTACGTGTGCACGCGTAAAATTCGTCGAATGCTGGAGAAAAGAGAAAGCGATTCGATTCCGGTACCTATACCTAGCGTCGAGCAACGTCTGCGTATATCTGCATTGGTTCGCCGACCACGTAATGCCGCGAACAATTGACATTTAGACAGAACGCGAGATAAAGAGAAGGAATTGGCGCGGAGTCAAGGAGAAAATTGCGTGGAAGGACGCGCTCGCGTGCCGATCTATAAATTTCATACGCATAGAAATGGCATCCGTTACGGTCGGATCGCGGATGTTTGCGCGAAGCTGAACATTTCCCGAGCTGATTTGCAAACGTTTGAATCGAATACACGTTTCCTTGGCGTCCGTCTTGTTTCCAATTGTACGAGGATATCTCGCGAATAGATCGCAGCCTATTATTGAACAAAGAGAACATTTCCCCGGGACACGGAGAAGCTACGAGAGCAAGCAACCCTCGCGAACCTCTGGTATTCCCAGAGGGGTCAAGCCGGACCAAAGTCTATCGCAGAACCATATATTTCGTTGCAGTTGTTAGTGAGCTTCACTGCTTTGGTATCGGCGCAATATCAGCAGGATGTAGACGGTAGTTCGCCGTCAAAAGGATTGCCGCTTTCCCTAAGATCGGCACGGTTTCAAAGACTGCCATCCGCTAGGCCAGCGATACCAACGCAGGCAGCGCTCGCCAATCAACGATTGCGACGACCAACAATTTCGTTCAGGTATTGTTCATAATTCATCAATTTTCCACGCTTGAATGGTCGACTCGGAGTTATCAAGTTACGACAAGGTCCTAAATTTTCGTCAACTTTGCAGACCGAAAGGCCCCGAAGATGGTCTGGTAACGGGTCCGGGATCGTTCGCGCAACCGAAACCGTTGCGGCCAAGTTATCCCTCGGCGCCAGGACCTTCGTTGCCTCCGGTGGTGAAGCCTGTGAGCGAAGAGCCGGAGGAGGATGCGCGAAACCGCGAACCTCCGCGAGATCACGAAGACGACGATGTCGAGCTGAGCGACGAACAGTCGGAGAGCCGCGAGAATAGCGACGAAAATGTACCGCGTGCCATACCGAATCTTGGACCTGTCGGCTCGATATCGAGGAGCTCTAACATAGGATCGGTATCGCAACAGCTACCGGTACAGTATCGTCCGCTTCAACAGATACCAATACCGACTGCCAGGGGAGGATCTCAGATACTGACAACACCGCCGTCCCCGCCTGTTCAATATCGGCCCGCGCCGAAACCCAGTAAACCGAGGAAACCCGTCGAAGAACCATTCAGGCAGCCCGTCAAACCACCTACGAAACCTGCGAAACCATCTCAGGTCTACGACGGACGCGGCAAGAAACCTGTTGCGCAGGTGAGTTCGCGAAGCTCATTTAGAAACTTGGAGAGAGACGTCGGAAAGTATGTATGCATATGCTCTGAATTCTCGTTGAAAGATTAGAAGCTCGTATCGTCGTTGTAATTACCCGGATCTATTCCATTTCCTTTTCCAAGTTTGCAACGAGGTACGTAATTTGATTAGATATGAAAATTATTAACGAGTCTGCCGCAGGAAAATGTCCAAGTGCTATTGACCTTTTCGTTGAAAGCGATCGAGCAAAGTGAAAACTGTAAAATGACATGCAACCGGTGCTGCACTAGCAATTGAGGCCCAATTACAAATATTAAGTTATATCACGTTCCCGCAGCAGGAAATCGTTACGAATATTGTGTATGCCATTAGTATCTTAAAAGTGGAACGTGGCACTTGCAGCAATTACCTATGCAATGGTAGAGATCGAGAGAGAGAGAGAGAGAGAGAGAGAGAGAGAGAGGGGGGGAGAGACAGAGAGAGAGAGAGTGTGAAAATACACAAGGTGTAACACTGTGATTCAAATATATTGTTCGTATTGACTTTGCGGTGTTTGAAAATCGTTACCGGCAGTCCGTTAAGATTCTAAATGTAAAGGGGTCCGCCGAGGCAATTTACGTGTAGATTGTGAATTGTGACGCTTCTCGTTGCAACACATATCCTCGTTACATTCGATCCAATGACTCAGATCGACGCGTACCAATCATATCTGTGTTTATCAGCGTGACGAATGGGGAGACTAATTCCTAAAGAATTAGAAAATATTTTGTTGAAACGACCGATAAAGCGGAATTTATTAGATTGTGTAACTCATTTAATCGAAATTTTTCATTATCATATGATTATGTCTTTGAGTTTTCAAATTCTTGACCTGAATTTTTTCAAAGTCATGAATATTTGAATGATCAAACTCTTGAATATTTGAACCATCAAACTCTTGAATATTTGAACGATCAAACTCTCGAATATTTGAATTTTCAAATCTCCTAACACTTCTACGTGTTTAATCAGCTTCTCGGCAGTTCGATGTTCGGCCTGTGCATGTGGCTGCGATTAGACCCGTCGTTCCAAGAATGGGTTGACTTCCTAGACATATACGAATTTTACATCGGCATCTACGTTCTCCTGGCAGTCTCGATAGNGTACGTAATTTGATTAGATATGAAAATTATTAACGAGTCTGCCGCAGGAAAATGTCCAAGTGCTATTGACCTTTTCGTTGAAAGCGATCGAGCAAAGTGAAAACTGTAAAATGACATGCAACCGGTGCTGCACTAGCAATTGAGGCCCAATTACAAATATTAAGTTATATCACGTTCCCGCAGCAGGAAATCGTTACGAATATTGTGTATGCCATTAGTATCTTAAAAGTGGAACGTGGCACTTGCAGCAATTACCTATGCAATGGTAGAGATCGAGAGAGAGAGAGAGAGAGAGAGAGAGAGAGAGAGGGGGGGAGAGACATATAAGTGTAAATGCCAGTAAATTATTAGCAAAGACGTGGTAGACAGTGCCGCCGATCAATTTAAATGTATCGCGTCAATGTGTTTGTTTCATGAAAATACGTTAACCGTGTCGTTTCATAACAGATCATTAGACGCTATCGCAACGACAATCCGGATGGCTCGATCACCTGGGGCTTTGAAAACGATGATGGATCGTACAAGGAGGAACAGATTGGCGTCGATTGCATTACAAGGGGCAAATACGGGTACATCGATCCAGACGGTATTCGTCGCGAGTACACGTACGAAACTGGCATCAGATGCGACGAGGAACAACGAGAAGAGGAAGAGAACGGGTTTGTAGACTATCAAGAGAACAAGCTAGTGCTTCCCGATGGTAAAACCATAGATCTCTCGAACATGGGTAAAAAACAAGCGCGCAGACCTCGCTTTAGTATCAAAAATTAGTAAGAATCCTTAACTTATACTTTTTCTCGTTAAGCAAAAGCGGTAGCATAGGTATTCGTTAGGTATTCCGTTGTTGTCAAAATCTGAAGATTTTTGTTATTTTCGTTATCCACATATGTTGAAATATATTAATATAATTTAAAGACAAAATTACAAGTTTCAAAGAAGAGAAGAAAGAAAACGTTCATATATTAATAGTGACAAGAGCTTAAAGAGCCCTATAATATTTTCTTTAACAACGAAGTCTGGGGTGAACATCAAAGTAATAGCACTTAATATTATAAGCTTTATTGTGATGACTGTCGTTGTGTTGGTATTGTTCAAAATTCGTATTTAAATTATTTAGGATGTATTTCTGTATTGTGTAAATATGATTGTAGGTACCTGTACGAAGTTTATCGAATAAAAATACCGAGACATAATAAGTAATACATTGCATAATATCATAGTAATTGATAAATTATAACAAATTACCCTTACCGCTAGTTATCGGTATTTCGCAGATGCATGCAACAACGGTAAAATTCGAATAACTTAAACATGTTAAATTGCATGTTCTGTCATTAACCTTTCCTCCCACTCGATATGCACAATCTATAAATAAGATGGATAATTGTCTGCCTAGTTGCCACTATATGTATAATTAATGGGACGCAATACGATCGAATACGATACGTACAAAATTAAATATAAAAATGAGTAAAAATGTTGCAAATCTGCCGTCTTCGAGCATGAACACAATACTGATTAAACATATCCTTACACGTTTTTTTATACATGTATACAAACATATGTATATATGTATATACAATATATATGTATGTATATGTATACACTATTGATCCAAAAATATCATTTCAATATTAACAGACCTACGTTAGAAACTCATGACGCAATATACAATTATCGTACGACTCGATTAATATGTGTATAGATGAGAAAACATACACATATACTAGAATATTGGTATAACATCTCCTTATAGTACAAAGATACACGGTTAAACAAATATCGTGCTTGTGTAATATCACATGTGCGTATGTATGTTAATTACACATGTAACCCATTCAAATTTTACAAGGTCAATCCATCATGCCCTATTTTTGTAGTGTGTGTTGTGTGCGGAGGGTACAGCCTGGAACACACAACAGACATGCTACACCTATTCCGGTAGATCTTATGCATAAAAGCAACGATATGTTTAAAAATTGGTCCATTCTTTTCCTGTACGAATCCAAATTAATACGCAGGACTCGTCACTGTGGAGGTTTGTTTAGGGGTATGCTGACCCTGTGCTAAGGCACCACTCCTAATTGCTTGAAACTTTAACCAGGCATCGTAACCATAGGCCACCATCGCGCAAAATCCAAAGAACTGAAAACAAAATGTATTTCTATTATATATAATAATCTATACAGGTAATGTAAAGGTAGCTACCTAAACATTTCCTCCATCACCATCGAAGGAAACATTTGAATGGCTATCTTTAGGTAAGACACCTTACATATACTTGTTATAAAGTATGATCCACTTTAAAAAATCGTTTGGTAATAAAGAGAACATTTGTGTTTCTCTAAAGAAGCTTAAAAGGAACGTTACTTAACCGTTTGAGTCCCAAGCAGCGCGATCGCGCTGATTAGATTTTGTATCGAAAAGTCCCAGGACATTTGAAACTGGCATTTGAAATGGCACGGTCAATTTTACTGACGCACGTACATCGCATAGCTGCCTTTTTAAATATAAATAATACAAGTAACATATTTCGTATTTCATTGTTATCTTCTCAATAATTTTTTATGAACAAAACTTGAAATATTTATAAACTAATACTACGCATATTAAAACAAGCGCTATTGTGCTGTTCGGCATTTTTCGACCGTGTTTTTTCTTAATAACTCCTGGGACTCAAACGGTTAATATATCAAATCAATGCATGTAAACAAATTTATCTCATAATTCATTTAAAGAAATTAAATTCACCGTGAACAATCTTCGCAAAATCACAGATGAAAGAATACCAAACAACTATAATAGAAATAATTTTTCATATTTTCAACGATTTATGAGATATTACAGCGTTTTTAGCCAAATGGAGTACGCTAAATATGTAAAAGTTTCAGTGGTGTACAAATGATTGGAATCCAGTTACACGACAATTTCATATGCTTTTGGCCCTAATCTGTATAAAACATGCATTTGGGAATAACTGCAAAATAATAATTAACACATAAACAGGTTTAGTGTAAAAAAAGCTAATATGAGAAATAATACATTAAATACTATTGTTACAAATAAGTTTTTATTACATGGTACTCACAGCTGCAACACCGAAAGATTCCACGTGTATAGCATAGTCCGCTGCGAGGGATGCAGCGAGCACATAAAACGCCGCCCAGAGTGCGCAGAATATAAATTCCTGCAAACAAAAAAATATATATATATAAATCTCCACTCGCATGGATATACATATTATAGAAATACCTAGCACAAATCAAAACATTGAAGAATGTTACACAATTACAACTTGACGTATAAAAAAAAAAAATAATTCTTACTACATATTTTATTACTGTAAAATCAAACTGCCTCTTTTCCTACCCCAAGAAATTTGTTTAACGAAATTTAAAAACAAAAAGTAGAAAACAATTTTTCAACTCACAACTTTCAGCCAAGGAATTTTGGAAAATTTTTCGATGATATGGAACAGATAAAATACGAGCAAAATTCCTGTGAACCAAAATCCAGCCATGGCTACTGTATTAAACCATCCTCCCCGGCTCGAGTTACTCTGACTCGATACGGTGATACATATGAACCCTAGAAGATTCAAAACCTACAAGAATATTTCAGTATTACAAAAAGAAATACGTAAAAAAAACACGGAAACGTGGATTAATCGATTGATAACCGCTACATGATGACTCATTCTTATATTTCCGATAAAAACACTTAAATAGGATATTGTTATTTGGACGATCGATTTATCAACCAATTTCATAATTTTTCACCAAATTTCCGCAATATTCAAATTATTAAAAATGGTTACAATTGCTAAAATTATGTGTTGCAGTTTGGTCAGTGACAATTAATTCGATGTTCTGGTTCTCGCCAAATGTTCTGTATATCACGCACGATAATTAAGTGATAATAAATATCAATGTTCACTCCATATGTATATGAGTATGTATACTGATATCAGTATGTATACTGATTGTTAGTGCACACGCATTTACTAGCTAGCGTTATTATTTTAATGGTAAATAAGAAAGTTATACTATTTTTTGTTAACAACATAATGGCGTATATACATTTTTCTACTCGCATTATTTTTTAAGAAATGAAAGTAAATAACAATCTTTTTATCTGCATACACATTTTCATGGAATACATATATTTGGATTCCGAAAGGTTCTGCGATTTTTCATATCTCCGCAGAGTCACCTTAACAATTTTTTATAAGTAAACAAATAAGTTTTTACGAAAAAGTAATTCTTCAGTTAACCGCGGGTTGGTAAAAAGATCATTAAATAAAATAGAACTTATCATTTTAGCAAAATTCTGAATTATTTATTCCGTATTATGTCCTTGAACCTATCCCTGTGAAAACCGCGAAACTATCCGGATGACCTAATAAAAAAATATAGTGAATACAAAAAATGTACACACGCAATTACATTGTTTACAACGGTCAGTATTATCTTCGTCTCTTTCATTTTTTCTTAGGTAACAATTTTCGGTAACAATCTGTACGCATCGATTTAGTAACGAGATGCCCATCGTAATAAAATGGTATAATATCGATTATAATGAACTCACCACTTGAGCAATCTTTAGCATGCCGGGCAATGTTCTTGTATAAGATGGATCAAATCGAATAGTGGGTTGTGTGGTAGTAACCGATGTCGTTACCGTCGTCGTAGTGGTATGTTGCCCTGGAAATCCTTGGTCCATCATATTTGGTCACTCTAAAAATATCACGTTACATTCTCAGGTTTGATAATCCTGACAGATGTTACCTAAAATTGCTGTACTTTACAAAAAGAAAAAGAAACCATTTTTGTCTTGTGTGCAGTAGCAACATTTTTCGAAAAACAGAATAACCTTTCCCTCTTCTGACGACATGGATCGTTTGTTATCTATTTCTGTTATATGACCTACGTGCATGAGGTGACTTTCGCTTCGAAACAAAAAGAATAAGAATTCATCAAAATACAAAGTGTCCGAATTTCAGATTGATTTACGAAAAAAAAACACTCATTCCGAATCTAGGATATACAAAGGGCTGAAATGACCAATTATGAACACCGTAAACTCGATCGATAAATTCGTTATTAATCGTCGTTTGAATTTTCTATGTCGCGCGGTAATCGTTAATCAAACATCATTCGAATCTACGAGTTCAATAACCTCGATTACCCAACTTCTTACTCTATCTCCACGAAACAAACGACAAACGAATAGAAAACTTTGATTAATTGTAACCAGGAAAGGAACGCAAAAAAAATGCTGAATCAAATAGAAATCATCGTGGAGACTTGTGTTGCGTCTGATCATCAGTTAAAATTGTAGGATGATCGGGTTTATTCCTGGATCGAGACTACTCAACGCAATTATGCCAATCCCAGTGTCATACCACAGAAATTACTTAATGTTATGGTGTGAAGTCATCTTGCCTGAAAATAGCGAATGACAGGTATGTACGAGCGAGTGCAACGCACGAGCAAATGAATCGAAGTACATTTACGAGTGTATCACTCGTATACGTATTTATGGTTGTGGGCGGTGAATTTGATTGTGTGTCACGTTTATCGCTACTAAAGCCCCAGAATCAACGACATGTACCGTGTACAGAAACCGCGCAAAATGTGACATGCAAGAAAAAGACATGTAACAGAGCATGTAAAACCGGTCTAGAGAACGTAATACGTGTAAATGTGTTCCCGAATATATCTTCCCGATATGTTTAGAAACTGATCTACAGTATTTGCACTGTAAACGAATTTACTTTTCCTGAAATATTTTTAGGAATTACAATTTTGAAAGTTTATGTATTCATGACCTGTAGCTTCTATACTATTTCTGCACACTAGCATGAAGTAACGGGAAAAAGACATTTAGCATTCTTTATGTATGATTAAAACACTGTTACTTTGTACGTTGCATCATAATGCTATCGGTTGCGTATGTATATCATCGGTTCTGTATTTCTAGAAAACATTATACGGTAGATTACCGAGATATTGTTTCTGTGTATAATATATACATATTGATGTACCTTTCGTTACAGGCTGATCTATAGACTTGATTATTTCGAAGTAATGTTTAATTCTTGCACACTGACAGGAATTCCCGCGTCCTTGAAACACTTGGAATGAAAAAGCTCGAATCCCTTACTTTCACCGAATCAGAACGCATAAATATATAACAAGAAAAATAACACCGAACCCGTTTCGAAACAAACCACACTATATATACAACAGTTACCTACGCTATTACAAATGGATCTATGAAAACTGGTACGTATGAAGTGCTTGATCCTACCCCTCCTTGTTGGTCATACACAGCTCCCTCTAGTGGAAATATTCGCAAACTATTGCATGAACTCCGATCAGTAGAAATTATGACATAGATACACACGCGAGGCACAGATTTAGGATCCATAGTACGGATCCTAACCAAAGTGAACGAAGTGTTCGAGTAGCCCAAACTCCATACGGGGTTTCGTGTGGCAAGTCAAGAAATACCGACATCGCACAAAACTCTCAGCCACAGACTTAAGATTCTTTTTTTATCTCAGCTTTGGAGGGCTCTAGAGTCCCCTTATCATTTTCGTATCACGCTCAGCATTATCGATAGTTCGTGAATTTAGACACGTTAGCAAGACGCGAATATCCTATATATTTAATTTCTACTACGAGTGCTGAATATTATTTGGAGGCAATAAGCGTATACGACGGAAACATTTAAATAGTGCAAATAATATTTATGAAACATGTACCACAGACTTAGAATCGGTATAGACATTGCATTCGATGCTTCTTTTTGTCCCAGGGTCTGAATTACCGACTCTGTAGAAACTGTTGTGGTACGATAGGATCTAAATATTATAACCTTGAAGGGCCAGACTCCTAGCGAGGAGATAACGGTAGAGGACACAGTTACCGATAAAATGAGACGATAACATGGATTTACGGGATAATACTTAACTACCTTAAATCAGTATCTTTTTCGATGTTTATTGGTATCATTCGAAAGAGGAAGAATCAATGCAGGACGCGAATGTCAGACTTCATAAGAATTATAAGATAATATAAGATAATATTATAAGATAATATATGTCTTAGAAAATAAGGTAAAAATTAATGGTGCCGAAGCCATGTGAAATCCAAGCAGTTTTATGCCATTGGATGATTTTTGTCGATGAAGGTCTGGCATTCGCGCACTGCATTGGATCTTCCTCTTTCGAATGATACCAATAAATATCGTAAAAGATATTGATTTAAGGTAGTTAAGTGTCACCTCGTAAACACATATACCGTTTAGGTATAAAAATTCATTATATCGATAATACAGAGCAAGAAATTTGACAAGTTTAGTTATACTGGTGCTTCTAAGGTGGCGCCTAAGTAGAAAGACGATACAACGTGGAATCGAAGGTAGATGCAAGCTCTTGCGTTATAATACAGATTCCCAATATGTAGATTGTAAATTTATAAGAGCATCTAGTCATAAAATACATCAAGTGATAATGTGATGTGATATAATAAGAGAGCGTATGTAAGAATGGCAGGTCTGCCGACCATGTACGGATAACAGAGTAAAAGGGAAATATTATTTCCTTATCACTTTAATAAACCTAACCGAAACCTAAACCTAGATGCAAGCTTGGATTGTAGTTATGTCGAATACCTATTCGTTCATTAACAGTATGCGTCTGTTATGTGAATTTTCTATACATGCAAGTATGTACACACCTAGTTTGGTTTTTCGAACGCACGGTAACGATGAGCAGATGCAAGTAGTTGTCCATATCCATATACGTGACCAGAATGCTTCATCTCTGTGTATCATTTGAAATTGCGATCAAATTTGCATATGTACTAACCGTAGAGATTTCATACATTATCACGTTACACAAAAAGTAAAAGAAAATTGACTGGGAAATATGATAACTACAATACTATGTCTGGAAAAGTTACTACTAAATGTTATTATAGTAAATGTAATTCTTCCACTATATTTTCAAACTAAACTTTCGCACTAAATTCTCTTCTTAAAACCTTCCCTTATTATTAGCTTACAAGCTATTGTTTAAAATAATTGAATTTATAAATTCGGTATTACAATGTCGTATAAAATTGAAAAGTCATATTATCACTCCTTCCTCTACAATTATAGCCATTTTTGTTTTTAAAATCCATAAACATAAATCGGAAGGGTCACTTCATGCGACATCAGTAGGCGTGTGCAAGAACCTGAAGTTCGGGACGGGTTGAAAAAAGTCGGACGGAATCGTGCTGGTTCAAGATAGTAACCAATATTAATAAAACAGAGATAACAAAATTTCTCTATAATTGCCCATAATTGCTCACCAATTAGTTTTAATTTCTCAGTTATCTTTTTCGAGAAATATTCAAAAAACGTTTTGAGATTTCTAGAGACTTTTATGAGAGGCTGGATATTTTTAAAAATATGAAAATTCTAAAATAATGTAAAAAACGTATGACTTACCCAAAAATCTAACCAATTTCTCACTCTTCCACGAGCAACAAATTTATCAATAAACAAATATATAAGGAACTAGGAGAAGGGAGCTACCACAGGCGCGTTCCGTAGTAACAGCAATCATTGCTTTACCTTTGCTATGATCTATGATTAGAAAATATCAATATAAAAAAGGATTCAAAATTTGCAGCTATTAGCTCGGTATCATCCTCGACTCAAAACTCGATGCAATTCGCAAAATTTTCTGTATCGAGAATGATACCGATTGCCCGGGTCTCACCGCGAGGAGGTTGCTGCTTTAGAGACCCGAAAGGGAGTCAGAACGAAGCCGGAATTCGCTATGGCTCCCTTTCTAACAACGACGACTTATAAACTAACACACACGCTCGCCAGCTAGCTAGCACACACCCACACACTCACTCGTTCGCATATGTCAAGTACTATCGCGGACCAAAGTGGATCAAAGAAGAAGTCTCTGATCCACGGGGACCAAAATGAATCAGTGCAGAAGGCAGTGATTCTTTCAAAGTGAGAAACAAGTGCGAGTTAGTGCAGAAGGCACTGACACGAGGGTGACGCGACGCGTACAATGCTCGCACAAGTCTGGAGCCGCGCAGATCCCGATGCTCGCCGTTTTCACATGAGGAATGATGATCCAAAGTTGGATCATCCCACAATGAGTCGGA